GACCTGAAAGTGACATTTGTCTCTCTGCTTGTCTCCGATGGGGAGCGAGACTGAGGAGTAGGAGCCCCCAACTGGACAGCACTAAAATCAGTTCTGTTACTGAAACCAAGGAGGGGATAGTGAATGTTGGTGACAATTAGCTACTTCTGCCATTCACAAGGGGCCGAAGAGGTTGTGAAAGCATGTCCCTTTCATGCCAGCATCTCTGCTAGGGTCTGGGTCTTGTCTTGCTAGGGCCTGTGGTCTGGGACCTCCTTCTGTGAGATGGGAGCTTTGGATCTGACACCTGCGGGGTGGTTTCCACAGGGAATGAGGCCTTGAGAACAGCCCGAGAGGCCTTGAGACTGCACCTCCTCATGTCTAGAGGCAGGACAGACATGGAGCATGCAGGTGGTCTCGTATACACCAGTGCAGCTTCCACTTTAGATGTGACTCTGGTGGGTGTCTGAGAGTATCAGGATTAAGTCTCTCCAGAAAAATGCCCGCATCCCTGCCAAAAGCTGAAATCCCTTGGCTGAGACTGTTCTCTGATGTGGGAAAAACAGAATGAGAGAGATGGTCTGGATTCAGAAGGCCTTGGGCAATGACTTCTCTAAACTTTAGTTTTGTCCTTTAGTTCCCAGAGAAGGCAGGAGACTTGCCCAAGGCACACATCATGGTAGTGACTGGCAGGCCTTTCTTTTGGGTGGTGGGTGCAAATCTCAGGTGCCCGCTGGGCTTTGCTCCTCATCTTTCATGGACCTGAAGACATGAGGATGTATCTCTCCTGGATTGCGGCTCCTTTTAGGCCCAGCCAGGCTGTGGGCCAATGTCTGTGTCTCTCCAGGCCTCCTTTCCTCCTCTGCAGAGCCCCTGGTGGTAACAGTTATGGGGGCCAGGCCAGAGGTTGCAGACTGGTATTCTGAGGGTACAATCTGCCCTGCAGAGGAATCTTGCTAAGCTCTGCCCTGTTTAAAACAATCAAATGAATAACCAACCATGAAAAACTCAAGAATTAAAAAGTCCAGGTTTCAGTTTTTTTCTTGAAAATCTGTAATATCTGCCCACTGGGAGTCTATATTCCTGGTCCCCCCTCTGAACAGAGCATAGGCCTTGAAGTGCCTTTAGAGCACTGCTCCCCATTAGCCCCTTCTCCCATTTATGTTACAAACTTGGCCCCCTAAACACTTGAGTTTGCAACCCCTGCTTTGTGTGTTTCCCTTGGCTGCCTGTGGAGGTGGAGCATCTCTAGAATGTGGGTGGGAGGCAGCCTCTGGTTCTGCCCTGATATTTGACTATGGGTAGGCTGCTTACCCTCTCCGAGCCTCACTTTGCTATCTGTCCTTACTGGGGTTCCATCTCTGACATCTTTTGACTGTATAAACTCAGACTTGGGCCCAAAGCCCAGAGGTACCACTGTTTGGCTGGGAGGCCCTGGGCAGATCCCTGCCCCTCTCTGAGTCTCAGTTTCCCCATCTGTCACTGGATGCTTCATGACAGACCACGTCTCTCTAACAGCCCTTCTGTTTTTCCTTCTGTGGCTGTCACTAGACCGAGACGAGTGCCTGCTGGGTGCTCACGATTGTAGCCGGCGACAGTTCTGTGTGAACACCCTGGGATCCTTCTACTGTGTCAACCACACAGTGCTCTGTGCCCAGGGCTTTATCCTCAACGTGCACAGGAAGTGCGTGGGTAAGCGAGAGCCCCTGCTGCCGCCACCATCATGGCGCTCTGCTCTGCTCCACACCAAGCCCGCCACACTGCAGCCACATGCTAAAGGGCCTGCCCTTTGCATATGAGCTCTCACCACAGCCGGCATCCCATGCTCTTTGTCACATCCTGGTGTCCTGTCCTGCTTCTCCACTGATGCCACTGGGAGGTCGCTTTCCCCAGAGATGTGCCTGAGAGTCAGAAAAGTAACTGACGTGTGACCTGGCTGGGTCACTGAAATGAGGAGGTCAGACCTGTGGGCAGCAGGATAGGATGTGTGAGGTCTGGAGGCAGTGAGCCCGGGTTTGAAGCAGGACCCTCTAGTAGTTCTTTGACCTTGGACAAATGACTTTCCTTTTCCAAGGCTCAGTTCTGTCATCTATAAAAAGAGGGTACTGAGGTCATTGATCCTCCTTTGGGACATGTGTGTACAGCGTAGCATAGAGGCTGGGGCACAGTGAGCATGTGATGTCAGCTGCTGAGATTGTCTTTAGATGTTTCCAGAGTCCCTTCCAGATGTGAATGGATGGAGCTGGGATGTGGCAGACCCAGCTTTGCACCCCAGCTTAGTATTCATTAGCCGTGTGACCCTGAGCAGTGGAACTCTCCTGTCTGAGCCTGCTTCTTCACCTCTAACCTTAGTGCTTGGAGGACTGGGCAAGAGCTGCTACCCAGCTCCTGGCCTGTACATAGATGGGGTCAGTGACTGATAACAGCTTGTCCCTCCTGCTTCTCATTGCCCACGTGGGCTGAGCACTGGGGCTCCAGGCATGCTCTATGGGCATTGAGGAGGGTGGACTTGATGTTCTCCCATGGCTGGGGGGAATCATGATTGTCCTGAGCAGAGATAGACTCAAAGTAGCAGGAACTTGGAGCAGACTGGAAAATACTACAACAGGGACACAGACAAAGGGAGAGGTCATTCTAGCTGGTAATATCTGTACACACTTCCTGGACAAGGTGGCGTTTGCACTGGCCTCCACTGATGGCTAGGACTTGGAAATCAGGAAGGGCATGCAGGGTGGAAGGAACAGCTCAAACAAAGGTGTGGAGGTAGGAACAATGCAGGTGCATTCAGGGCATGTGACCAGAGCCTAGCCCTTCTTTGTGCTTGGGAACCATGTCTGGCCTTACCATGTCCTCTTCTTCACCCTCCACTGCTGGGCAAACAGGTTCCTGGTACTGGGCTGAGCAGCCGCTGCAGACATGTTTGCCCCTGGCCTCCAGCCGTCGGCACAACATGTGCCCTCCTAAACCTGCTTGTCAACAGCTAGGCAGCTCCTCCTGTCTGGGTTGTGTCTGTGTATGTGTGTCTGGGATGGCAGATCCCACCAGGGCCTGCAAGCACCCCTCCCAGGATGCCCTGCCTGCCTGCTGTGGCCAGATGGGCAGGCTCCCCTGGTGGCCTGGAAAGACAACCTTTTGCTAAAAGGGTTCTCTGGGCAGCCAGAAAACAGGTTCTGGTATTAAAAGAGCAAAGGTACATTCCATTCAGCAAAATTTGAGCTCACATTTTCATTCTTTCCTTAATTTCCCTTCTCATTCATCTTGCATAGACTTATCAGGGTCTCTTCTTTGTCCTTCCATTCTACTTCCTTGTTCATTTTATCCTGTTAGCATCCGTTCTTTCCATTACTTATTCATTCTCAAATGTATACTGGTATTTTCTGTGGTTTGCTTGTTAGCTCCAGGCATGTTTATTCACCTGGCTGGTGAGATGTGAGACTGGTGCCTGGATGAAGAGTGTGGCTTCTGTAGCCAGACTGCCTGGATTCAAATCCTGGCTCTGCTACTTTCTAGTTGTATGACCTTAGCCAAGTCATTTAACCTCTCTGAGCCTCAGTTTCCTTGCGTGTCGAATAAGATAGTAATAGCACTTCCATCAAAGAGTCTCTGTGTAAACATTAAATGAGTTAGTCTAGAACTTGCAAGTGTGTGTCATTACTGTGATTCAATAAATGTACTATACTGAGGCAGTCTGCATGGGTTGTGATAAATCTGGTACTCGACAGATCCCTGTTGAATGAATGGCTGCAGAGACAGAGGTATGTAAGCTGAAGTGGGGGAAGTGTTGAGTGGTGCCAGGTCCAGAGGACATCTGATGGACACGTGACCTCTGTGGTGACTCCCCTGTGCTTTTTTGTTGTTAGCTTTTTTTGCCCTGCCTTTGAGGACTGTCTTGGCCCCTGGGGAAATTGTCCTCAGTGGGCTGGGCTCAGAGATTGCTGCCCCCATGAGGAAAGACTCTGACAATCCAGGGCCCAGAGAAGACAGTGCTGTGGCCTAGGCCCCAAGAATGCATAGCTTTTCTCCCCAGAGTCACCACCTACCTGTCCTTTCTCTGCCGTCAGGTTGGCAGTTCCTTGAGGGCGGGGATTGTGGCTGACACTCCTGCTTGGCCACCTGGACCTAGCACAAAACAGGCGCTAGCTAATGTGTGTCCAGGAATGAATGAATCAGCAAATTATTGCTGCACCTTCCCTGCCGACTGGAGCGTGGAGGCAGGCACTGGTCA